AAAAAAAAAAAAAAAAAAAAAAAAAAAAAAACAGATAGACATCATGAGTACTCTGTGCTCGTCCGGAGGAAGAGCTCACTGGTTTCGGAGAGGATTGGATGAAACGCCTGAATCTGGATGGGTTTTTTGAAAAGCAGATCAGAAGCGATTTGCTGCACCTCTCCACAAACACGTCCATATTCAGGCGTTAAAATCCTATCCTCTTGGGTCGCCCCCGGCGGGTAAGGTCCCACTTATCTGCTGGATTTTTTTTTTTTGTTTTTTTTGTTTTTTTTTTTTGTTTTGGAGAAACAACCCGATCGGCTGCTAGAGGTGCTGATAAGAGCAGGCACCACTAGCACTGTCGGGGAGGCTCCATCTATTGGTGGGGAGCTGCACCTGCTGGTATCTGCTGGATTCTTGGTCCCTGCCCATAGACTTCACAGATCAATCAACGGCTAGGTGCAAAGAATCCAAGCGGGAATGTTTTTCGTGGCTCTACTACCCCCTCCTACAAACTGTATGGTCGGAAAAAAAAAAAAAAAAAAAAAAAACTTTATGGTCGAGCTGGCTATCTTTCCGGTCCGGGGGCTAGGCCCCACTTGCATACTGACCGTAGATAGCAAAGATCAACGGCCGAAATCTCCTAATTTGCGCAAGTGGGACCTTGCCCCGGTACAGCCATAACGAGGGTGCGTTGTGCTCGGGAGAGGACGGTAGAGGAAGAGTCTCCATTGGGTATTTGTATGTTAATTGTATCAATCTCGCGATATTTTTGGCACCTCTCCACAAACACGTCCATACTCAGGCGTTAAATCCAATCCTCTTGGCTGGTTGGACCCCGCCCCCGGGGGTAAGGTCCCACTTATCTGGATTCTTGGTCCCTGCCCGTAGATTTGACAGATCAACGGCTAGGTGCAAAGAATCTAAGAAGTGGGACCTCACCCTGGAATGTTCGTGGATATGCTACTCTTCCCCACCCCCCCCCCAAAAAAAAAACTGTGTGGTCGAGCTGGCTATCTTTCCGGTCCAGTACAGCCATAATGAGGGTGCGTTGTGTTCGGGGGAGGATGGTAGAAGAAGTCTCCATTGGGTGTTTGTATGTGAATGGTAGTGATTAGGATGTGTGATGGCTACCAAAAATGTGGGGCGTGCAGCTTAATGGCCCATAGATCCAATGTCAGGCCCCTCACGGCCCTGTGGTGTGTCCCATGAGCGCATGGGTGTGCAGCCCGTAGTTTGTATGTTGATGTGGTCAGGGAAGGGTAAGGTAACGATTAAGCTGTGTGTTGGCCGCCAAAAATGTGGGGTGTGAAGCCTAAAGGCCCATAGATCCAATGTCAGGCCCCTAAGGGCCATGCAGCAGCCTAAAGGGCCATAGATCCAATGTCAGGCCCCTAAAGCCCATGCAGCAGCCTAAAGGCCCATAGATCCAATGTCAGGCCCCTAAGGGCCGTGTGGTGTGTCCCATGAGAGCACGGGTCCACAGCCCATAGTTTGTATGATGACGTGGTCAGGGAAGGGTACGGTAGTGATTAGGCTGTGTGTTGGCCGCCAAAAATGTGGGGAGTGCAGCGTAAAAGCCCATAGATAGAATATCAGGCCCCTAAGGCCCATGCAGCCTAACGGCCCATGGATGCAATGTCAGGCCCCTAAGGGCCGTGTGGTGTCTTACCATGCCACAGAGAGAGAGAGAAAGGACAATGTCGTTGGATTGCAGTCCCCACAAACAGACTGGAGCCATCCGTACTGCTAGTTCGTTATCCTGGTGGTGTGCCCTCACCACCACCAGGATTGAGTATTAGCATCTGGGTTCTTTCAAAAAGAAAAGAAAAAAAGAAGTTTTGCGCTGTTTCCCAAGTCCGTGTCCTGCTGACTTCTCTATATGCCTATTTGCTTGCCTGTTCTTTCTTTACCCGAATTACTCTGATTTTTTTTTTTTTTTTTTTTTTTTTTTAATGTGGTCCGATGGATCACGGATCAGATATTAAACTGATCAGAACAGATACTACACTTGATCTTAGCCAAGAACAGATACCTTTCTCGGCCTTTTGGCTAAGATCAAGTGTAGTGTCTGTTCTGATCAGTTGAATTGCTCTGATTTTCAAGTCTGTGTCTGGCTGGTTTGGAGGTGTTTCACGTGTTGCTCCCCACGAATAGACTGGAGCTTTTGTCCCAAAAAAAAAAAAAAAGAAAAAGAAAAAAGAAAAAAGGTTTGGAGGTGTTTCTTTCCCAACGCCTTGTTCCTGGAGGTGGCTTAGAAGTGCGTCAAATTCAGAAGAAAGGCTCAAGTGCTTAGGTCCAAGGGGCACAGGCAATATCCTGCAATAACATCCTGAAAGCCTTGGAAAAGAAACAAGATTAAAGTTTGTCTTCCCCCCCCCTCCCCCTCCCCCTCCCCCTCCCCCCCCCCTCTCGTGTCACACATGGTGTTGATTATATGGCTGATGATGATGAGGAGGCATCTGATGATGGTGGTGCCGTGGCATGGTCCCAACATTTGCGATGCTCCCAACATTTATTGACAAAATGTTATTGGTAGCAAGTTCCCTGAATGTCGAATTGAGAGGTTGTAACAATTCGTTCACAAACGTGCACTTTATTTTATTTTATTTTTTTATTTTATTTTATTTTTTTTTTTTTTTTTTTTTTTTTTTTATACTTGGGTCACGACCTTCTTCCCCCGAACACAACGCACCCTCATTTTGACTGCATCGGACCGGAAAGACGGCTTGTATACGTTCATTTTCAGTGTGCGTTATGTTCGGGGGAAGACGGTAGGCGGGGTGGTAAGAGCATCCCACCCCCCCTAGTACCCTCGTAGGTGCTCCAGTCTATTGGTGGGGGGGAGCAGCGCCTGCTGGAAACCGGGTCCAGCGTCCCATAAAACATCAATCAAATTATACAAGTTTGGAACCCATATGGGGCTGCTCATCACTGATACCCACTGAGACTCCTACTCAACCTACCCTGCCGACTCCTGAAAACAACCCGCAGCATTACCCACCTTATCTTTCTTCTCCTCCTACCAAAAAACAGCCACCCCATCACTCTGACTTGTAGGCACACCGAGACCCTCTGGGGGCCACCGGCAGGGTCCCGCGCCTCAGCCCTCTTTCCTTGTCGTACTGTCGGGTCACAGCTTGAAGGTATAACAGGCCATACCAGCAAACCGGAAGAAAAAAACAGGGGTAAAGGGGAGTAGGGAAAAGACGAAGGAGTTTTTTTTTTTTTTTTTTTTTGGGACAAAAGCTCCAATCTATTCGTGGGGAGCAAATGATACAAGAAATTTGGAATACCAGGGCCATTACCTGGCATCGGCTAAGAACAGTCTAAGAATACCAGGGCCATTACCTGGCTTCGGCTAAGAACAATCTAAAAATTCCAGCTAAGAACAATCTGAGAACCACGAAAAGAGTGTAGAAGAACTTTAAGACAATCTGAGAATTTCAGCTAAGAGCAATCTAAGAACTCAAGCCACAGTTACTAAGTCTTTTTGTCTTTTTTGGAAATATCTGGAAAGGCTTGGAGAACTATATAAACGGGGGGTCAAAGCTAAAACAACCTACTATCCAAAATTCCCGCCTCAACAGACGAAAAGTCCGTCCAGGCTTTCAGTCCTCGTACCAGAACACACTTGATCTCATACCCCCTTCCATGCTAGGGTAACAGGGCACCGCAACCTTCCCCAGTACTGACCAACCTAGTTCTGACGGACAGGAAGTGCCTTCCTCCCTCGACACTTCCCATAATGGCAAGCCCCTAACACAGGTTACAGGGTTAATACCCCGGCACCCGCTACGGGTTATGCCTTCCACCCTCAGCATAACTCCACAAGCCTCAAGGTCCCCCTAGGTCACAGAGCAAAAAGAAGTAAAAGGAAAAAAGACACGATGCTCAGTTTCTGCCTCACAAGCGACCAAGGCTAGCAGGGGGGGGGGGAAAGGGTCTCCAAACTCCTGCGCTGGCCTAAGCGGGGTCCTGGGGCCAATTTTCGTCCAGTCCTGGAATGTCAGATGGTAGTCCCTAG